AGACAAAATCGTGTGAAAACAATCTGGTTCTATTATGAAAAGCTGTAACTAATGATGAAAAAGTTGATCAACCTTTGAAAAGTTGAGCTTACAAAAAACCAAACCTTCCAATTTTTCACTTTGCTAAAAATAGACAAAATATTGTGAAAGCAGACCTGTTTTATTGAGAAAAGCTGTAATTGATGATGAAGATTAGCTCAACCTCTGAAAAGTTGAGCTTACAAAGGACCAAATCTTGCAATGCTTCACTTTATTTCGGTAAAGCTGTGCTAACACAATAATATTTAAAGTGCATACAAGGAACTGATGTGCAAATATAATTATTGATTTCTAAAATATAAATATTTAGTTTGTATTTATATAATATATATATATAATCCCTAAAAATAGAATTGTTTTAAATTTATAAAAATTTATATAACATATTATATTTGTGTAATAATTGAATAAATTATTTATGATATTTATTTTTCAAGATTAAATATCTATTAGTATCAATAGTAGGTGTCAATATTATAATGAAATTTGTAGAAAGTGTATACATATCTAATTAATTGTAATTTTCTTTTGCTTTTATTTGTTTTATTATAATCTCTAACATTATTTAATACAAATATTTTCAATTTATTTTTAATATCAATATGTTTAAAATATTTAAAGTTTTATTTTGAACTTAAATTTCAAATCCATAACTACTTAGCATTTTTAGTTATCCAACACTAAGCAGTGTTACGAATTAGTTTTAGAATTCACGATTTTGAAGTTCGATTTTCGTTTATTCACTATGTAATAGTTGCAAATTACATTTAAAAAAAATAAATATATATTCTCTTTGTTCGGTAATAAAATAAATAATTATTTTTTTAACAAAATTTTTAGAGAAAAAAAATAATAGCATTTAAATTGCTTATAGTTTTTTTACCTATACGATTTAATTTAATAATTATATAAATAATATGTCGTGTAGTTAAATTTACAGAAAAGAAAATTGTATATTTTGTCATGGAACAAACAAAAATAAGAAACGCCTACATTGTTGCCCGAGGGAGAATGTATTATTATTCTTCTTTATTAATCTAAAATATCTTTTTAGAATAAATGGGTCAATCTCTGAAAAGTTTAGCTAACAAAAGATCAAATCTTTCAATTTTTGGTTTGATGTTGGTAAAGTTATATCAATACAACAGTGTTTGAGGTGTACAAGGAACTGATGTACAGATACAATAATTTATTTTTGAAAAATAAAAATCTAGTTTGTATTTATGCAATATATATATATATATTAAAATATAGAACCCCTATAAATATAATCATTTTACGTTTATAAAAAAAATTGTATTAATATATGATATATATTATATTTGTGTAATAATTTATTGATCTAATTCGAATCTAAAATCCTACTTTTAGGAAACTAATTTTAAGTGAAATTTACCAACAAAATAATACTATAATACCACTGAATTTTTCTTCCAAAATTCAACTCAAATCCTCTTACGATCTCTTACCCAAAGACTCACAAATCTTTCGCACAAACTTGTGTATCCAATTGTTGTTTAGATTTGTCCTTGGTAAGACAATTCATCAATGCCACAACATTTGAATATTGTTTCAATCATATGATTCGATTTGCTATTTGAAGGTTTTTAATTTAATTTTCAATCTTATTCAATTTAAAATCAAATTTACTCTCAATTATAACTATAATATCAATTTTGATCCCAAACTCTTGAGTCTCGATGAACTATCTATTTCATATCCAATCTATAATTAGATATTTGCAAATCGAACTCTTTTTTTTTTTTTTTTGTAACTCTTTGATTTCTCTGAAATATCAGTAACTTTATTAAAATTGAGTTGGAAGTCGAGTAGAGATACGTGAGTCAATTGTTGTAAACTATCTAATTGTTTCACTTCAATCAATTAATTATCTATAACTTATTCCAGGTTTCCACAATTTTCTTGTTAATTCTTTTTAGTTCTGATTTTGAATTTTTACTTTAGTTTGTTTCAGATCTTTTGATTTGCAATCAAGTATAATATTTATGGGATTCACCAACATAAAATTAAACTAAATTTTCTAATATTTTTTATTTTTATCATTTTAAATAAAAATGTAAATTCATATAGTTTTCTCATTTTTTATAAAATTGATTTATATTAATAATCTATAAACATATATATTCTATTTATTTGTATTGTATAAACATTGGATTTATTTGATTTTGATTTGAAATTAGTCTTTTTATTTGAATTTTAATTTAAATAATATTTTAATGTAATATTTTATAAGATAATAAATTTATTGGGAACATACAAACTAAATAGTTGTAACTTTGATTTTAAATGGAAACCAAACATATTATTATTCTTTGTAAAATAATATTCATATTATATATATCGTATTAAGATATAACTTTTGAAACACTTATACACGTCACTTAAATTTATTTAATCATATAGTATATAATATGTAAATATATTTCAGCCAACTTTCAACCACAAATGTTAATGTGAATTAAGCACACCACTGTGTTGTTATGCACTTTAAAATTGAACTTAAGCGCACCACAACTAAGTTAGCCATGGTTCATGTTGTCAACTATTGAATTTGTCAATAAGTAAATATTAGTGTGAGACTCTCAATTTACCGGATGCTTTTAGATGAAACTTTTATAACTATTTGGGGCTAGATTTGAAAATATTCACGACGATACATCCTCAAACCGATAGCCAGACATAGCGCATCAATCAAATGTTGGAATTGTAATGTAACGTTAAATCAATTTAATTAGACAATCTTATTTCAATTTTTTTCGATATTATACATTTTTATTTCAACTTGCAGAAGAATGAAAATATGAAAAAAAAAAAAAAAATCATTCAAAATTGTACAAAATTTCAAACACAACACTGGAAAATATATAGTGGGAACTTATAAAGGATCAAACCTTCTCATTCTTTACTTTGCCAACAGTAGACAAAATTGTGTGAAAACAGTATAGTTCTATTTATAAAAGCTGCAAAAGATGAAAAAATTGACCAATTTTTGAAAAGTTGAGCTTACATAAAACCAAACATTCTATTTAAAATACTGATTCTATTTATAAAAGCTACACCAGATGGAAAAATTGGTCAATCTTTGAAAAGTTGAACTTACAAAAAACAAAACCTTACATTTTTCACGTTGCCAAATATAGATAAAATCTTGTGAAATGAGACCTGTTCTATTTAGAAAAACTACAATAGTGAAAATTAGGTCAACTTCTGAAAAGTTAAACTTACAAATGACAAAATCTTACAATTCTTCACTTTATGCTGGTAAATCTGTGTCAATACAGCAGTGTTTGAAATGTGTACAAAGAACAAATATGTAGATATATAACTGATTTCTGAAAAATAAAGATATAGTTTGTATTTATGTAATATATATTAAAATATAGAGTCCTTAAAAATAAAATTATTTTTAAATTTATAAAAATATTGTATTAATATAGCAAGAGACCCAATATAGTTCATATTAAATTATTATTACAAAGATTTAGTTTAATTGTCCAAATATATAGTTATTTTTAAATTTATAAAATTAAATTCAGATACGTGTAAATCTTTATACTCTTGTCATAATATATATTGTCATTTTTGTCTGTCACTGATAAAATATACATTTTTATACTAAACTTGATCATATTTCAAATTATAAAAAATTTTATTTTATATTTTTTTACATTAATACTATATTAATATATAAAATCAAAACACAACGAGAAAAATTTTTTATACAAATAAATATAATCATTACGTGCTTCTAAAATTGTTATATAGTACTCATTCAATTTATCAATTTTAATTTATTTTCTTTATAAATTTATAAAAAATTAAATAATAATAATAATAATAATAATAATAATAATAATAATAGTCAATTTCATTGCATGCTTTTAAAATTGTTATATAGTACTCATTTGGTTCATCAATTTTTAATTATTTTTTTTATAAAGTTATAAAAAAAATAATAATAATCAAAATTGATGGACATAAAGAATATTATATATTAAGGGTGTGGTTGTTTGGGGCATTGGATTTTTAATTCACAGTTCATCCTATTTTTTTTTTCACTAAAAACATCAAATCAAACACCTATTTTTCATTTCTATATTATACTAAAAATTAATTTTATATTTAAAACATCACATCAACACCTATTTATATTACATCATACAACTATTCAAATTCAAAATTTTTACTATTCAAATCCCAACTAAAATTCAAATCCCGTCAACTTTTATTCATGTCCCAACATAAAACATTATATACCAAAAAAAAAACAAAAAAACAAAAAACAAATATAAAAATCAAACTTAATTGTTAGAAATTTTGGGAGAAAATAATGAAATTGTCTCATTGATCATTAAATAAGGAGCCTATATATAAGCAATACAAAATAGATTCGATAGACTCAAATTTAAGTAATTTAATCTAATGAATAAGATCAAATCTAGATATAAATCTATTAAATTTAAAACTAAATATCTAAAATATCTCAACAGTGATGAATAAAAATGCAATGAATTTCATCTTCTATTCATTTGAAGAATTTAAGAATAATAGAAGACGAGCAAAAAGCCACGTCCAAACACCTCTTTTTACTCCTTTTTTTTTTAGTATTATAAATTTACCTTTTTTTAGAAGATTAAATAATAGGAGTAATTTTAATATGCATTTTTTAAAAAAAATATAGTCCTAGATTAAATAATACAAAAACTTAAATAAACTTTATTTAGATGTGAATATATATACAAGTTAAAATATTTAAATGACAGTCGTGGTATTAAATTTAGAAAAAATAAATGGTCAAAATGATTGGATTGGTAATTTCCAAGACAAAGGCAACCACTCGTTAATTGTATCCCCCAATTGAAATGGGCTACTGATTTTATTTAATTAATTAATTAATTAATTAATTAAAAGTTTGTATAACATGATGGTCGGACCATTCATTTATACATAAACTCCTTTCTTCCTCGCTTTCACTTTCACCCCCAAATTGCAAATTCTGCTCTGCAATTCCAATCCCAATCTCAGTTCGGATAATCAATCTATCATGAATCAGTGCGTCCCTAGCTGGGATCTCGACGACGCTGCACAGCCGCGTTTCATCCGAGCTCACTCCAATTCGTTGGCGCCGGATGTGCCTTCGTCAGTTTCTCCTAATCTTCTGCTTTCCATGCTCGTTTTGATTCGCGTTTTAGTTTGATTTTGATGTTTTGTACTTGTTTTTCTTTGATTTCTTTTTATCAGTTTGGATTATGAAGTGGCGGAGCTAACTTGGGAGAACGGCCAGCTCGCAATGCACGGATTAGGACCTCCGCGAGCGCCGACCAAACCACCGCCGGCGAAGTACGCCGCGGCCGCCGGAGCCGGAACGCTTGAGTCGATTGTGAACCAGGCGACCTGTCTCGTGCCGGAGCAACTCAAGTCCGACGCCGCCGCGGCGGAGAATGCTGAGGACCTCACGACGTGGTTCGAACACCGCCGCGGAGCGGCGGAGGCAGTGGCGGCGGCGGCGACGGTGGCTGTTACGTTGGACGCATTCGTCCCCTGCGCCAATCAGAGCAACCGTCGAGAAGGTTCCAGGCACGTGCAGGAAACCGCCGGCACGTGCAATTGCAAAACCGCTCAGAACCACAACCACAACATAAGCGTGAGCGAGAGCACCCCCACGTGCCGTGACCGCCGTCGAGTGACGGCGACCTTCGACACGGCCGGGGAGAGAGAATTAAGCGGCGCCGGAGGGTTCACGTTCACCTCCCTATGGTCGCCGGAGGAGAACACCAGTTCCGGCAAGGACTACCCGAAGACCACGTCCGGAGAGGACCCCGACTCCGTCTGTCACAGCCAGTCACAGGCACGTCACTTTATCCTAACTCATTTTTAGAAAAAAAAAAAAAACATATATTAGAAAACCATATTTAATTTTTCTTTTTTAATTGCAGCTGGAAGTTGCTGATAATGAAAGAGAGGTGGTGAAGAAGAAAGCTGGAAATGGTAAATCCTCTGTTTCAACAAAGAGGAGCAGAGCAGCCGCCATTCACAACCAGTCTGAAAGGGTATTATTATTATTTTTCTCAATTTTAATTTGTGTACTTTGGTAGTGAATTACTTGAGCAGAAAAAGTAAATTTAAAAATGGATTGAAACATTAATTAATTTATGATCGACGATTTATGATTCAGAAAAGAAGAGACAGAATAAATCAAAGGATGAAGACCCTCCAGAAGATGGTCCCAAATTCCAGCAAGGTACGTATTCTATGCAAATCGTTGACAAGATAGTCTGAGTAAGTCCCACACTGCATCTACTATCCATCAGGGTGTGTTTGCTTCTTTTTGGATTTTATTATCATAGCTTTTATTATTACATATATATGGTAATGATTTTGAACACGCAGTGCAGAGATGCTCGACCTTTTCCACCACTTCTTTTTATTGCAATAATTAAATAATTGATATCCACTCCGTTGCATATATTGAATGATTCTACCACTTTTCGATTATATACTATTCCTATATATATATATATATTACCCTCAATATTTGTTATTATATGTTTTTTGTTTAATCATGGATTCGGATTAATTTGTTCATACTTTCTTTACTCATCATGGTTATGATTAGATAAAAGTTTACTTAGCGAAGTTTTAGTTTTGAATCGTGATTTTAAATAGTAGTCAAATTTTGAATTGAAATTATTATTTAATATAATATAAATAAGTATGAATATGAATCAATACAAAATCTCACAAATAAAATACATGTTTTTGAAAAAAAATAATAATAATAAAAAAAAATTAGAATATTTAGTGATATTTTATGCAAGTGAATAGTGATAACAATTCTAAAAGTTTATGAATAAAAAAAGCCCACGTTTTTGTCCCTTAAAGTTTGTGCATATGATGATTTAGGGTGTGTTTGTTTATATTTTGGACTTTTTGAATTTGTTTGTTTTAAAGGCATAAATTATTTTGAAATGAAATGTGTATGTTGAATGTTATTGATATAATAATACATCATTTTTAGTGTTAATATAATAGATATTTGGATATAGACCAAACAAACAAATAGTACATGCTAATGTATAAGAGTAGTGCATGTGCATTTTTATCTTTAGGCAGAACTCGAAAGTGGTCCAATAATTCAACTAGAGGCATAGCTAATCTATATACATACATATATATATATATGTAGAGAGAGAGAGAGAGAGAGAGAGAGAGAGGGGACACAATCTAGACAGACAGGGAGTTGTTTGTTGGGATGACAAGTCTATTGATAACCACACACACATATATTTACTCTTAATTTGGTGGATAATATTAAGTAGAAAAGTTTTAAGAATTAGATAATGTGATATATATATATTTTTATTTATTTGGAATATATGATGTAATAAAGTGAGATATATATTTATTAGGAATTGAATGTAGTTAATTACAATATTTTTTATTTAAAAAATATTGCAAGATGTTTGACATATATATATATATATAAAAGAAAATTATTATAAAATGTTTGGGACAGAAGTAATAGTATATATATTAGCATGTTATATACACATAAATACACAATTTTGGACTTTTCTTTGATTTTTTTTTTTTCTCACTTGTGCACATCCACATAAATTTGTGTGAAGGGGGGTTGCTACCTCTTATTTGCAAGTCAAGCCATTTGCTGTCAGATGACAAATAGCGACTGCATGTAATATTTTATAAGAAAAAGCTATTGATCGAATAATGTTAAAACGATTAATTGAGTTTTCATATATACACTACTTACTAATTTGCGTTTGTTGTTGTTGGGGTGTCTAGTTTAATATTGTGGCGTAATTATATAGCGCAGACGGATAAGGCGTCGATATTGGACGAGGTGATCGATTATCTGAAGCAGCTGCAAGCACAAGTGCAGATGCTGAGCAGGATGAACATGCCGATGCCCCAGATGATGCTGCCCCAGCTTGCTGCCTTTCAGCACTTCACTTCCATGATGGCTGCCGCCTCTGCGGCATCCTCATCTGCCCCAATGCCGGTGCCGGTGCCTATGCCCACCCCCATGATGGGCCACCCTGCCGTGGACTTCAACAGCCTCGGCCGTGCAGCCGGAATGCCTCCCTTCATCGCCTCGCCGTGGGATATGCCGGCTGATCGCCCAGCCGCCGTGCCGGATCTCTTTTCCGCGTTTCTCGGGGCACAATCACAAGTAAGTCATTAATTTATCGTAATATTTTTTTCACTAAAAATATGCTCCGTCCGGAAAAAAGGTTTAAATGATTTTTTTTATTAAGTGAAATAGCAAAAATTATTTGTGGTTTACAAAATTTATTGAAAAAATCTTTTGCTTTTAAAACGGCGTGCTCATAGCTCAGATAATATTGTAATGTAAAAAATACTATTTAGTTGAGATTATAACTACTATTAATGTTGTTTTATATTATAAAAGAAATTGAAAACCATTTTTTTTTTTTTTTTTGTATGTTAAGTACAAGAATACGTCGATTATATATTTGATGTTGAATTATTAATTTTTTTTGTGAATAAATAAAAATATATATTATATTGTGTGAGAGTATATATCTATTATATACTCTTTAGGATAAAGCAGAAATAAAGATAAAAAAAACTAAAGTAACCCTATCAGTATTAGCTATAAAGTTAATAACATTTGTATCATATATTGTAAATTGGAAGGGTATTTATAATGTTAGATAGATATAGTACAATTATTAAAAAAAGAAATTAATACTTTGTTATGGGACGGATCAAAATAAAAAAAATAGATAGATTATTAAAGGAAGAATGAGAGTATTTTTTGTTTGTAATAGTTATTGAAAAATATTATTAATTTTTGTCATGTGTTTTATTTAGAATAACTATTTATGAAGAAGGAGTTAGTTGAGTTCAAATGTCAGGAAATACTCATTAATGTCGAAATATTTGCTAGTTCTGTTTCAAGTTATGATTTCTTAAGTAGTGTACTTTTTAATAAAATCTTTTATAATTAGATTATGTTTTTATTTGGAATAAAATTATAAATTTTATTTATAATAATAAAAATAAATAATTGTGTCTAAAAAAAATTAGAAAATTTGAATAGAAATATTATATTCCCCCTTCCCCTTTTTTACTAGCTGTACATTTGTTGCATATTGTTTAGGTGATGATACTTTTGGTAGTTTTTTTTTTTTTTTGAAATAACTTTATAAGTTATATTTAAATAAAAAATTTTTGAAACTCAGGTAGATTTGAAACCTTAATTTGAAAGTTAATTTTTATTTTTATTTTTTTTATAATTACTACTCTTATATAAATGTATTTCGATTATTAATATATGTTGAAATATTTAGATTGATATATATTTGCAGCCGATGACGATGGACGCATATAGTAGGTTAGCATCTTTGTATCAACAATTTCAGCAAGGAGCCGGGTTTGGTGCGGGAGCTGCTGGTTTAGGATCGTCTTCGAAGAATTAATTTTTAAAATTTTTGTAAATTAATTAATTTATAAAATGCAAGAGGTCTTTAAAATAAAAAGGTCTTGATATAAATACTACTCCTTCCGTATCACATAATTTGTCTCTACTTTTTATTTTCGTCCGTCCTACATAACTTGTTATTTTTATTTTTGGAAATATAATTATGCACTTTAATCACATTTTAAAATTTAAATTTTATAATTTTCTTAATTTTAATTAAACTATTTACTTATCTTAATTTTAATCTATAATTATTTTTACTAATTAATAATTATTTTTACTAATATACTTCTTAATTACTTACTAATTATACTTTACCTAAATCCCCGTGTCTACAGTATTTTGATTTAAATCTCCACCAAATTGGAGATTATGATCGATGCTTGATTTGATTAATTTATAAATTGATATATTAGATTTTATTTGTATATATTTAAATACTCTATCCGTCTCAAAATTATAATTTTTGTTGTGTTGGGTACGAAATTTAAAGAATATTAGTATTATATTGATAATGGATAAAAAGTATAGGTAAAAGACTTTTTTGCCCTTATGAGTGTATTAATGTAAAAAGTAGTGACAATTGTGCAATAATAATAAAAAGGTAAGGGTAATTTTATAGTGATATAATTATTTATAAAAATAAGACTATTGTTTTGAAACGGACAAAAATAATAAATAAAACTATTGTATTGAGACGAAGGGATTATTTAATATGGTGAGTGGGACGGATGGAGTATTAGTTTTAGTACTTTGTAACAGTGGAGAAATAATACGGTGAGTTTAAATTTTGCTGCTATTATACCGGTTTGTTTGATAAGTCAATTGATATAATTATATTTAAATCCTATTGTTTTCTATTAAAATTTTTAAATTAAATTTCGTGCAATATGATATTATAATTACTACTCCCTCCGTCTTAGATAACATGGCGCATTACTGTAGATCCGAAAATTTAGGTAAAATATAATTAGTAAGTAATTAAGAAATGTATTAGTAAAAATAATTATAGATTAAGATTAAGATAATTAAATAGTTTAATTAAATTTTTAAAAAATTTAAAATACGATTAAAGTGTATAATCAATTTTCCAAAAAAGGAAATGACAAATTATGTGGGACGGACAAAAATAGAAAATAAAGACAAATTATGTGGGACGGATGGAGTAATAAACAACCAAGGCCATTATGGGCGTGTTTGGCTTATTCAATTAGCTGATAGTTGTTAGTTGATTCAGTTAGCTGGTTTGACTAGCTGATTTGATTAGTGGTTTCTATTAAAATATTTGGTAAAAAAACTGTTTGATATTAGTTATTTATACATAAAATGACAATCGAGGATATTTCTATTTTATTTTTTCTAATATATTCAATTATGTTCTTTTTCTATTTTATTTTTTTGTTATTAGTTATTAAAAATTGTAAAAGTGTTATAAAATAGTATTTATTTTTATTATAGTTATATTTAAAAAATAATATATTTTTATTGAAAAATATAAATAGTTTTTTTTTTTATTGAAAATGATGTAAAATATAAAATAATAAAATTTTCGTGTATATATTTATTATGTTAATTATTGATTAGTTCATTATATTTATAATTTTCAATAAATTTAATTTAACTTTAGTATAAAATTTATATAATGTAACTTTAATATAAAAATAAATTATTAATATTTATTTTTTCTATTTTGTGTTAATTTTAATAAATTTATATACTTTTTATAATTAAAATAATTTATATATATAAATTAATTATTTTAAATTTATAAAAGTAAAAACTATAATATAATAAAATATTTTAATATAATAATAAATAATCAAAATATATTTATATGTGTAAAATGCATAATTAATTTTTAAGAGCAAATAAATAATAATAATAAAAAAATTGAACTGAAAAAGTTATTTCAAAACGTTGGGTAAGTTAATTTTTCATAAATTACCTTTTTGGGTTCAAAAAATTATTACGAAAAGTTAATTTACGGACACCTAAATTAGTTGTTCAAAGCTGTTCAATAAACTAAAAGCTCCTAAAAAGTTATTTGTCAAATACCCTCTATATATATATATATATAAAAGATATTTTTATTTGAAATTTGAAATTTAGCTTAAAGCTTTGAATAGTAAAATTTCGAATTAAAATAAATATTGTTATGATATTTTAAATTGTAATTTAAATAGGAGTTTGAATGTGATACTTTATAAAATAAAGTAAAATATTTTCATAAAAAATTTCGAGAGATGAATAATAAAAAAATAATCAAGTAGATCCTGTTTAAAAATACCCTAAATTAATAAATTAAATATTAAATATATGTAATAAGGCAAATAACATTCTTTTTGATTGGTTTGAGAAGAATTGTTTTGAATGTGGTTTATATTTGATTTTTTTAAAAAAACTTTTTTTTGGAAAGATGCGTTTTTCAATTAATATATTTGGCTTGAATTTGATAGATTTTGATGTCTATTAATTTGATAGTTAATAGATGTAACGATGTAAATATGTGTTAAATTAAATTTACAAAATTAATAACAATGTGATTTGAGTATATTAATTATAAATAAATACTCTCTCCGTCCTATTGAAGGTTGTCATTTTTTATTTTCGTTCATCCTAAAATAAGGTTATAATTTTCTAGCTTAGTAATTGTACTACCTACTAACATAATAAATATCCTTTCAACTAACACTATATTACACAAATGTCATTATTTTTATATTACACAATACTAATAGGGACATTTTTGTCTTTTTCACTACAATTCATTATAATACCAATATTAAAAAATTTACCTACAAAAAGTAAACCGCAACTTTCCACTAGAAACGAAAGGAGTATTATTTATTTATATTATATAAAATTTGACTGTTTACAAAATGATATATATTTTGCAAATATTTATTAAATTCTGTTAATTATTGAAATGATTAAACAATTAATTTCTTTAGTGCAACAAGGTTGTAAATATATCTATTTATTATATACTAATTATTGAAATGATTATTGAAAGTCAGAATAAATTTTTGGGGGTTTAGATTTTGAGTTGGAATTTGAATAGTAAAAATTTTGAATTTGAATAGTTTGTATGATGTTATATAAATAGGCGTTGATGTGATGTTTTGAATGTAAAATTAATTTTTAGTATAATATAAAAAATAAAAAATAGATGTTTAATTTGATGTTTTTTGGGAGAAATTTTTTTGATGAATAGTAAAATAAATCCTTCATACGAACAAACCTTTAAGGACTTAGACATTAGATTTTGACTCGTAAATTTCAGTTTGGCACCTTTTTTTGTCCAAACTATGTGTCAAATGAACACACCCCAAGGTGTTTAAAACCAAAAAGCAAACATTTAATGCCGATGTCATTACTTTAATATCATACAATATTAATAAAGATAATTTAATTTTTTTACTTTTATTTCTACTACATCTCAATATAATATTAATATTTCTAAAATTCTATACAAAAAGTAACTAGATAAATAAATATGAGAAGGAGGAAGTAAAAGATAATGCAATAGTGTCATGCTAAAGATGGTGACAAGTGATGTAACAATCAATCTTGGAATATCAAATTATAGGCAATATATATAGTAATTTCATCATCACAATGCATTTTAATGGAAAAATCTACAATCTAAGTGTTAGATAAACAAATATGCTCAAGAATTTTACATGTTCATTTGGATTGTGAAATAAGACAACCTTTAGACGGCCAACGAGCTTCAACAATAACAAAAAATAAAACAAACGTAAAAAAATCCAAATCTTTCGTTTAAAACGGAATTGTTAATGGTGATTTTAGTTCGGGGTGTTAAAATTAAATTCGATGAGAATTCTAACTTGTTTGATCTGAGATTTTTTAGGTTTGCGTTTGAAAATTTTGAGTTTGCAAAAAATTGGATTGATCCAAACTTGAAACGAAAAAAATTTGTGTCGTGTTCAGGTTGATCTGATAATCCGAAATATAAAAATCAGGATGGATTTTGGGTTGACATGAATTTTTTTTTTTACTATTTTAATTTATAATATTTATACTGTATCAAATATAAAATAATAAAAATAAATTAAATTTGATTGTTTTGGTAATTTTTTTTTTAAAAAAAAATCACGTTTGTTCCATGTCGGATTTGTTCAGGTTTTCTTGAAATTAAATCAGGTCAATCTGAACCCGACTCGAAAAAATTCGTATCGTGTTCATGTCTACAATTTCGGATCAGAAAAATTTGGATTCGGATCATATTTGGGTTGGCATTTTCTATTACCCCATGGTTCAACCCGATACAAATACGACCTTAAAACATTCGACACCCCTAATTTTAGTTGTACAATCCCATCAATGGAACTTTAGTAAGAACTATACCATCTACATATATTATTAGTACAACAAGACCAACATAATAATTAATAGCCCGACCAAGAGATTAATTGTGACTACTAACATAAAAATAAATAAAGTGATGTAAGAGCAATAAATGATTTATCAAACCAACCATGAGGTGTGTATTTGAAATCAAATAAATATTATCTCATATGGGATAATACGATTGTGTGAAAAAAAACTCGTAAATTGTGAGATTATGAGTTCAAATTTTAAAAAATATATTTTTTTTTTAAAAAAAACTTATGAATTATCTTTTCATCAAAATCACAAATCATGAAAACATTTAAAACATCCATTTGTGATATATCCCACTTGCAAGGGGAAAAAAAAAGACACAATAAAAACAACAAAAAAAAGTGTGAATTGTAGTGATATTAGCGATTAGAACAATTTTTTATTTTGATTTTTTCATAATCCATGTCATATTATTGTGAGAAACCTTTATGTGTTTGTTTGGGGGTTTGGATTTTGAGTTGGGATTTGAAAAGTAAAAATTTTGAATTTGAATAGTTGTATGATGTGATATAAATAGGTGTTGATGTGATATTTTGAATGTAAAATTGATTTTTAGTATAATATAAAAAATAAAAAATAAATATTTGATTTTATGTTTTCGGAGGTAAAAAATGAGATGAATAATAAATTTAAAATCCAATCATCCAAGCAAACACACCCTATGGGTGTTTTGTACATTTCAATCAAACCATCATACTTAATTTTGATTTTTGGCATCCAACATGAGTTAGACAATATATTTACTAAAGTATTAATTATGGACAACATAAATAATTTTTTTTTTTTTACCGTAGGCAAAATTACACAAAATTTATTTATAATTTCACGAAATTTTACCAAATCTCCAATATTTTCAAAATGTATATATTCACAAGTGAAAATTAATTGTTTTTATATATAAAAAAACCTAAAAATTGAGGGGGAAAAAAAAATTAAATCATAAAAAAGGGGCTTCTGAATAAACGCGTGGCATTTTGTGGTTAACTAATTATATAATAAATAAATAATATTTTTATTTATTATTTCCATAAATCAACTCATAGATATTTTCCAGCCAAATTCTTCTTGTGGCCACTTATCTATTCAATCATTTTTTAAAAATAAAAATAAAAATATTACTCTATCCGTCGTCTCAGCTAATTTGTCTCATTTAATTTAAATATATAATTTTAGATATTATATAATTAATAAGTAATTAAAAAATATATTAATAAAAATAATTATAATTTAATAAAAATAATTACAAATAAAATAATTAAATAGTTTAATTAAAATAAAATAAAAATTATAAATTATAATTTTAAAATATAATTAAAATGTATATTTATATTTCCAAAAAAAAAAAAAAACAAATTATGTAGACAAACGAAAATAAAAAAAGTTAGACAAATTAAATAGAAGATGAAGTATTTAGCTAGTGACCTAATTTTAAATAAATACTTATATATTACTACTTTCGTCCGGTTTTACGGGTCTCATTTCTTTTTTACATGTTAATATTAAATATTAATTATTATATCAAAATATAGTGCAAATTAAGGAAAAACTTCAAAAATAGTTATATTAGTTTCTTATAATAGTAATAGAATGACATGTGTATAAAAAATTATATAAATATAAAATATTTTTAATTTTAAATACAATAATAAAAATGGTAAATGTGAGCTTTATAGACGGACGAATGAATTATTATTTATAAAATATTAAATTAAACTAATATTTAAATAAAAAAAAATATCATACGGAAACCAAACAAACTCTATTTTCTTGTTTTACATATTAGTGGTGTGAAAAAAATATACTATTAACTTTTACTCTAACAATTTGAATTAAAAAATATCATGTGTTAATATTTAGGGTTTGGTTTTGTTTCTATTTTGTTGAAAATAAATTGTATTTTGTATTGAATTTTGATTGATGTTTGCAGGTGGTCTGATCAACGTATGAACTATGGTGAAAAGCTATGGTCCATTCAATAT